ACAAATTGATGAAGTTAAGATCAAATTAGTAGAATTTGTGAGCTCTATTATTTCTAATTATAGGTAGGAAGTATGTACGCAATAGAATAAAGATTGGTTGACTATGTAATATATTGAGTCTTCAAGTTTTATGAAAGAAATCATTTTTGAGTGTATATATTCGTTAATAAAGCATTATAATTGGTTTTCTGATTAAAATCGTTATATAGAATCATAGGAAACAAAAAACAAAAATGTAATAGCTTGGGAATTTATTAGACGACAAATTTAAAGACAATAAAACGATGGTTTTATTGGAAAAACCGTCGTTTGTACATATAATCAATGACCTTTTTAACACTATGTCGTCTTTTTTATATACAATTAACGGTGATTTTTAACAAAATACCGACGTCTTTACAAATAAGTGATGACGGTTTTTAACGAAATACCGACGTCTTTACCAATAAATGACGACGGTTTTAACAAGATACTGTCATCTTTACCCATAAATGACGACGGTTTTTTATAAACCGTCGTCTTTACCCATAAATAACGACGGTTTTTAACCAAAAAAACTATTGTTTTTACATAAGAACAAAGACGGTTTTACTAAAACCCGTCGTCTTTACATAGAATAGACGACGGGGATTTACCGTCGTGGTTTTATGCATCAAAAGATGTCGGTCGATTTTACGACGGTTGAAAAACACGAAACCCGACGGTGGATTACCGTCGTCTATTGCGATTTTTGTAGTAGTGTATATCTTGTGAATTTAAATGTGAAAAATTGCTTATGGTTGAAAGGTATATTGATCTTGATTTTGAAGTTGCTTTGACACGTGTGACAAAAAAATTTAAAGTTTTCAGATTTGATTATGATAAGTGCAAGTGGATTAAGAAGAAAAGTTTGGGTGATTTTCCTCTCTTTTTGGGTGATAATTGTGTTAGCTTCAAGTATTTCGGGATGTCAGTCAGATTGCATATATTTCAACCATGATGATGAGCGTGTGACAAAAATTACCTTCAGCAATCGTGGGCCTCATAATTTTGGAGTGTATGACCTCGAAACTCGCACATTTAATTTTCGGCCCTACAGAAAAGTTGCTATGAGCATGATGAAGAGAAACTTTCGACCTCCAATCTGGTTTGTAACGAATTTGCAAATATGAAAAGCTTGTTCTATTTCTTTTTTGCTTTTTCCTTCTTACTATGTAACTTCAAGATTTTTAAGATATTTGATTTGATTTAAATTTTCTTTTAAACATATAACTCAACATCTGATATTTACTCTTCTTCTTTTTTTTGGGTCATAATTGTGTTGATGAGTTATGTGAATGGACAAATTATAAAGGACATATATTATTGAAGTGCAACAACATTCAGAAAAGGGTATTCAAATTGAATCATACCGTGAATGAACATATGGCCCTGTTTGGTGGGCTGGACTGGACCAGACTTTTTCAATTAAAATGGACTATAGTCCTAGCTGTTGTTTGGCGAGCCTAAATGCACTTTGGGACTGGTTAGGACTCATATTTTAAGTAGGATACCAATCCAGCGAAAGAGGGTTTTGTAAACCCAAGTGAAACCATGGGTTTCGAAGCCTCCGCCTCCGGCTTTCACTGCGTACGCAGAGCACCTCCTTCTCATCGTCTCTTTTTCTTCTTTTCGTTCTCCCTGTGACTTCAACACCTCTTTGTGCCATTATGAAGGTAGATTTATTTCCTCAATGCATCTATGAAGCTGTGATTCTTTTTTTGGATTCTCTCTTCTCTCCTCTCCTCTCAACTATCATCTCTCATCTCAGATTTCTTTGTAAATTTTTTATTTAAATGTTAAATATTGAGATGTTTTGATGATTGCCATCACTTTCTTCTGGGTTAGAGGTCGAGATCTATGGTTTTTTTGGGGGTTTTTTCTTCTTCTTCTGAATGTTGTCTTTCATATCTGAGATACTTTCATTCTCCGAATTCTTTTCATTTTGTTTCGAATTACCTTTTTTTTGCTAGACTACAATTTTGTTTCTCATGTCTCCTGTCTCCTTTCCTCTCTCTGCCTACGAGAAGCCATGGATCAAAGGCTTCAAGAATTCAAATCAGAATTTTCGCCTTTTCTTTACGAAAGAATCCCAGATTTGTGTTTTTTTTATTTATAAATATTGGTTATGTAATTCATTGTCCCTTTTCTTTATGATGATGGGTTCTATATTTTATTTATTTTTTCTATCAAAGATGATGGGTTCTGTTTGTTTGTTCAGAAAATTTAGTAAATGAAATAAGCAATAGCAAAAAGTTTCTAAGTTGCAGTTCGTATTGTAGTTTTCTTCTCTGTGTGTTCATGAACCAATCTCTCTCTTTTTTTTTCTTTTTTTTAAATTTAAATTTTTATTGAAGTCCCAATCTCGGTGAATGTATTGGTTCTATAATTTTTCGTATATGAATATTGGTTCTGTAATTTGATGCGTTTTAATTAATTAATTTTTAAAATTTTTATGATTCCAACCCGAAAAACAATTAATTTTTTATGATGTTAAATAATCTAATAAATAGTAAATTAATTTTGAAAAAAAAATTGAAGTCCAATGTTGTCCAGTGTGGCCTTGTACCAAACAATGGACTGGACTTAAGTCCAATCCAGTCTAGTGCTTTACCAAACAACTCAATAGGACTTGAAGTCTAGCCCAATCCAAGCCAGTCCAGTTTAACACTTCAAGCCCAAATCCTAACCAGTCCAGTCCAGCCTACCAAACGGTAAAGTGTTAATTCCATGGGCGCTCAAGGACTTGACTTCACTCGTAGCTTTTTATTCAATTTCAAGTGGTAGCTCAGAACTGAGATACCTCTACCTTTGACCGTGTTAACTTATTTACAGATTAACTGCAATTATCTTCTAAATACAAAATATCATGTTCTTAAATGTAGAATTAGGAAACTAAGAACTAAACAATTTCCTTAAGAGAGATCAGAGCTAGCTGGCCCGCACCAAAACCACCAAGTCCACCAGCATTTCAGAAGCAACAAGCAAGATGAGTTGCTCCTCCATGGCCGGAAGAATCAACGCTGAACATTGTGTTTTTTAAGATCGATTTTGTACCATTCAATTTTTTGGTTGGAAGAATCAAAAAATTGTAACTTTCATGCTTAACATAAGTTTCTCTCTCTCTAAAAAAAAGGGTAAGTAATGTAGTTTAGAGGAAAGGAAATATCGCTTGGCATATTGTGAGTTGCCTTTTTCTTTTTTCTTTTTTCTTTTTTCTTTTTTCAAATAATATAACAATATATCCCGATTACTTTGGGTTTTCTATATTAATTTAATAGGATAATATTAATGTTGGTTTTCCTATTTAATATTGATTTCAATGTAGAGCCCAATATATAAAGGGCCTTCAACATACAAACCCTTCTTCGTATGCAATTTTTGGTCAACCAGAACCGCCGCTTCCGCTGCTACCGTTGGAAGGAGAAAAAGAGTGCGCAGGGCAAACCCAAACACAAAGGAAGAAGAGCCATGGCCACCACCAACAAAAAACACAAGCCTTACTTGCCTGACGATATTATCTACAAAATTCTCCGACGTCTTCCCACCAAAGCTGCAGTCCGCATGAGCTCTCTTTCCAAGCAATGGGAAGGTGTCTGGTCTCTCCTTCCCTCGCTAGATTTCGACGAGGGCGGCAACCCTGATGATTATCATCACCACAACTTCGTCGTTGACACCGAAAACTTACTTCGACATAAAAGGTTCGTCAACAACATCTTGGCAAAGTATTTGGAATATCGTCAAAAAGACAATAAGCAGAAAGATGTCTTAGATAAACTGAAGATCCGCATGGCAAGGTTTCATACAGGCGACGTAACTCTTATAAATAAGTGGTTGGATTTTTCATTTGAGACAAGTGTGAAAGAGTTAGATATCAGCCTCAGAATTAGTAAGTTGCATTGGAATATTGAGGATGGTGGGTTCTGGTTTTACTACTGCATATCTCGGAGGACCTTTTTTAATGCAAAATCTTTGACTGCTCTAAATTTGGAGCACGTGAGAATAAAAAGCTTTGACCACACAATACATGATACAAGCCTTAGCCTTCTTCCCTCTTTGAAAACCATGTGCCTCAAAAGTGTGGTCTTCGATAACCATGCTCTCTTCTCCTTAATTCGGGAGTGCCCTTCCATCGAGTCCTTGTCACTAGCTTCATGTTCTTTTGAGGATTCCCTTTCAAGTTCCAGTCTCAAATCCTTGGAGGTCAAGGATTGCATGGCTCCCAAAGTTGAAGTTGATGAAGCTGTGAATCTTGAATGTTTTACCGTCGTTTCTTCACAATTGCCTCTCCAGCAGATTTCCCTGAGGAGATCTAATAACTTGAGATATATCCACATTCGTGCTCAGCACTTGCAATGCATTTCTTTAAATGGATGCCATCAAACTGTGAAGGCCACAATCGATACTCCAAATCTAGTTTCTTTCTATTTCAATGGTTATGTGAGCTACTCCAATTTTCATGTGAAAGCTCCAAATTTAAAGGTAGCCAGCATTCGACTTTTGGACCATTGGGACGAAGAGTTATCCACCATCGATCGTCCCTGGAAACATTTTCCTACCCTAAGAGATTTTCTGAAAGAATTCGGTTGCAGCAAACAATTGAATCTCCTTGCTTATGAGTTTAAGGTATTTATATCTAATGCCTATATGCTTGATAAGTTGGTTCTGGAATTACTCCTTATGACATGATGCTTTCCTTCTTTCTAATTGTTTGTTCTGGATGGTGCAGGGTATCATCTTTCCAGAGAATTTCAGAAAGATCTTCTCTTCACCTCTGCCTTATGCGAATGTTTTAATCCATACAAGGAATAGCCCAACCGAAGCGACAGAAATTTCTGACTTGAACGACTCCTTGGATTGGATTGCACCGACAGAAATTTCTGACTTGAACGACTCCTTGAACGACTCCTTGTTTTAATCCATATAAATTCTTTTGAATGTATTAAGATGACTTCTTACAAGGTACAACATACCTCTTGAAATTAGTTTGCATATAGAAGTTGGGTTTTCTTTGATTCACTCCTTGTTGTAGTTGGACTTATTTGAGGACTTTCACTGGAAAATTGAGCACCAAAAGTGTGCTGTTTTGAAGAATCTGAGCAAAAGCCTCTGAAAATACAGCATTTCTTATGTGATTGGCCCAAAATGTTCTCCCTACTAGGGATGTGCTTTATTGTTTGAAAATCACCTAAGATGTTCATTGTTTTTTCTGTCTTGGCCAGGTTGAAACATCCCTTCATGCTCTCTTCAATTGCACGGTTAGTTCTTCACTTTTGGAAAAACTGGGTTGGACTTCACTTCTTACTGCTTTACCTCGCGATGACACTGCAAGCTGGCTGCAGGTTGTATGGGAAGTTCTTCCTAATTCCCAACATTCTCTGTTTGCTATTGGTCTTTGGTCCCTATGGAATGTAAGTTCTATATCACACGTAATCTATAAGCACTAACCTTGAGAAGCCATTAGAGCAAGCACAGCAACAGCAGCAAAACCCACGAACTAGCCTTGGTCTTCCTCTCTCTATGCACTCTGATTCTCTCCTGTATGGGTAGGAATGTGAGTCTGTTTTTCAGTGCATGAGAGTGGGGACCGAAGCCTTAGTTTTATATGGTGAGTGCCTTGAGGTTCCTAGCCCATAAAGGATTCCTCAAGGCTTATCCTTATCACCTTAAGAGTCCATAGCCTAATATAATAGATATTCCACAAGTGAGATAGAGCTCCAACTCTATCAAACTTATCCGTGTATATCCAGCTTATCTCTCCCTTGTATCCCTGATCAAGTTGGATTCCTAAACGGATGTGAACTCAAATAGAGTTCTTACATTCTCCCACTTGAGTGAAACATCCATTTAAAACTCTTCTTTAAAGATCAAGGATCATAACCTTATGTGCACAATTTGGAAAGACAGCTTGATAACAATATCTATATCAAACTCACTGTCAAATATTACCAACTCAAAGGACTATAGACACGATAACCATTTCATGGTATCATCCACCTATAATCACAGCAAGCAGTAACATATACATAGAGTACCAACAAGCTATGTTCAACATCACATGATGAATAATCAAAACTTTGAAGTTATTCATTCATCATACGAATGGTCCTCTTTATGATCAATATGTTTATACATATGATCTTACCTGTAGCTTAAATAATTTTACAACTTGAACTGTAAACTGTAATCATATTGCAAAATCAATGAAATTGAATCAATATTCATTTAAGAATCTAAAATGTTCCAGAATAATTTAACTAGAAGTCAAGACATAACACTAGCTCAAACAATAAACAGAAAACTTAAACAAAAGGCTGAAATGAGAACAAGCCATCAACTCCCACTAGACCAAAGAATCTTCGAAACTGGACAGTAATCCCATATTGGTCACATGCCTATGAAAAGCATTGTTTGGAATTGCTTTATTTAAGGGATCTGCTATCATTTCTGTAGTGTTGATATAATCAACAGTGGTGAAGCCTTCTCGAACCTTCTCTCTTACTAGCAAATACTTCACTTTCATATGCTTGAGTCCAGCAGACCTTTTATTGTTCTTGCAAAAGAACACCGCTCCTTTATTGTCACAAAATAGCTGAATAGGCTTCTATATAGAAGAACTTCCCTATTTATAGGCCTAGGGGAAGTGAAAATCTGAATTCAATATGGCTGATGCATACAACACTTGTTTTATAAAATCTGAAATTGTTGATGCACTTGTATTAGAAAATCTAAATTGGGTGATGCACTTGTGTTAGAAAATCTTGAATTGGTTGATGCACTTCACCAATAGATCCCACCAGCAGCCCTAGCTCATCTTCATGTCACCATGACCAAGCTTCCAACCAGAAATAATAGCTCATCCTGAGGTCAGCATGACCAGCAACTTCAAGGGCTTACGAATTGGGCTTCCCTTAAGCAAATTAAGACTTTAAGCACTCAAACTTGAAGTTCAGAATGTCTTCTTTCCAGCCATATGTTATTTGGGCCAATCCAAGGTCGCAGGAAGAAGTTAAGGCCGAAACAAATTGCTAACTCATTTTCCGCGCTGATAAGATCCATCCTGAGCATGGTTCTGTGTTTGCTAGGTAACAGCCTCCATATTTATCCAATGGGGCTGAATTTTGGATATGTTATATTACACACCCATTGGAACAACGTTCATGAAGAATATGGCCTCATCTGAGCTATGTAGGTTGCTGAAACAAAGCTTGCAATATGACCTACGAAACTGAGCTGGCAGGGGACTGTAGCCAAAATTGAGTTTGTCTTTAAGCTCTTCATCCATTCATCCAAATTAGGCCCTAACATGCATGGATTGCATCATTTACTATCCAAAGCCCTCATTATTACCTAAAGCTCAATGAACTGAAAGATAAACACAAAAAGGATTAAAAGCACAAGTTTAACTCAAAAACATAACCAAATCATAAGCTAGAAGGGTACAAAATGATATACAATTATGAACTGATCACTAGCTCCCACACATTGTTACTTTGCATGGATTCCAACTCAGATTGCATAGCCTCAAGCCACTTCACAGAGTATTAACTAGACATAGCATGTTTATAATTTGAAGGATCCTCAAATTCAATACTGTCAAAATCAACTTCATTCAAATATACAAAATCTGGCAGCACATTTGGTCTTCTATCCCTTGTAGATCTTCTCACCTCTTGTTGTGGCAACTGTTGATTCTCAATTGCCTCAAGTTCATTCTCTTCCCCATTCAAAACCTCCATATCTTGATCATGAATCACAGGTTCAGTTGGTGCATTAATCTGAGAAAACATCTGATTTAATGGTAAAGGCAACACTTGATCTGTGACACTTAAATGTTCAGTTCCTATCTTTCCTTCTTCTTCAAAGACAAAGTCTTTATTAACTCCTTCATTGTCATCATGCTCTATAAAACTGCCTTGCCTGTCTCCACAATTCTATTCACATAATTAGGACAGTAGAATCGAAAACCTTTTGATCTGTCAGCATATCCAATAAATCTGCAGCTCACTGTTTTTGGATCAAGTTTAGCAAGTTCAGGATTATAGACTTTGGCTTCAGCTCTACAACCCCAAACATGTAAGTGATTAAGGCTAGGTTTTCTCTTATTCCACAACTCGAAAGGAGTCTTAGGAACTGACTTGCTTGGACATCTATTTAGAATGTAGTTTGCAGTCTTGATTGCATCACCCCACAAAAATTTTGGAAGATCAGTGTTGCAAATCATGCTTCTCACCATGTCCTTTAAAGTTCTATTTCTTCTCTCTGAAACTCCATTCTCTTGAGGTGTTCCAGGGTTTGTGTATTGAGCAATAATTCCACAATCTTGTAAAAATCGTGCCAATGGTGAAGGATGTCTGCCTTGCTCATCATACTTGCCATAATACTCTCCACCCCTATCTGACCTTAAAACTTTAATCTTTAAATCTAATTGATTTTCTACTTCAGTTTTAAAGATTTTAAAAACCTCAAAGGCACTAGACTTGTTCTGGATTAGATAGATGTAACAAAACCTAGAGAAATCATCAATGAAGGTGATGAAATACTTATGGCCTTCTATGGTTGGGACTGGGAATGGGCCACAGATATCAGTATGAATAATCTCAAGAAGGTTTTGACTTCGAGTGGAACCTAATTTTCTTGAGTTAGTCATTTTTCCTTTAATGCATTCAATGGACTCTTCAAAATCTGAAAAATCTAAGGGAGGAAGGATTTGTTCTTTCACAAGGTATTGCATTCTTTTCTTAGACACATGGCCTAGCCTTTTATGCCATAGCCTTGCTGAATTTTCATTGTTTTGAGATCGTTTTTTACCTATGGAATCAATGGCAAAAACATTGTTTGAACTGGAACAGTTTAACTTAAAGAGACCATCAACTAAAACACCATTGCCAACTTCACTTTTATTAAAATTCAAATTGAATCCTACCTCAGAAAAAACAAAAATAAATTTCTCCCTAACCAATCTAGAAACTGAAATCAAATTCCTTCTCATGGAAGGTACATAGGCAACATCTTTTAAAACTAAAGAAAATCCTGAAACTAGTTGAAGTTGGACTGATCCTACAGCAAGAACTGCCACCTTCTTGCCATTTCCTACGAAGACATGGTCATGATCTCTACTTGGTTTGCTCTGGCTTATAAAGTCCTGCAAAGAATTGGCAATGTGGATTGATGAACCAGTATCAATCCACCAAGAATTAGAAGGTATATTGACAGAACTAGACTCAAAACAAACTGAAACAGAATTTGATTTACCTTTAGCCTTCTTTTTCTCTACCCAACGCTTATACTTATGACATTCCCTCTTAAGGTGACCTGCCCTTTCACAGAAATAGCACTTAAAAACATTGGTTTTGTTAACAGCTAGAGCATTGGAACCTTTGGGTGGAGAGTTGGCCTTATTGGCAGCAGCAGATGAGTTTGGCTTAGGATGGTGCCTTTTTGGAGCATTGGTTGTGAGATGGACTGTGTTCACTTCTTTCTCCTTCTTCATTCTTTCCTCCTCTTGAACACAAATTGAAATCAATTCATTGAGGCTCCATTTGTCCTTTTGAGCATTGTAGATCACTTTTAGTTGGGCAAACTGAGAGGGAAGTGAGTTTAGTGCAAGGTGAACTAGAAAAGGGTCAGCTATAGGGATCTCAAGAGCTTTCAGCTTGCTTGCAACCTCTATCATGCTTAAAAGATAAATCCTCATGTCTACGACACCATCATACTTCATGGTTGCAAGTTTGGTCATCAAGGTACCAGTTTCTGCCTTCTCGGATTCTTTAAACTTCAGTCCTATAGCCTCCAAAAACTCCTTAGCATTCTCAGATTCAGTGATGCCTCCACAAATAGTTTGTCATGGATTTCTTCATGACAAGTAGGCATATCCTATTTGCCTTCTCCCACTTCTCGAGTTTCTGCTTCTGTTCAACATTGCTATTGGCAGTGACCTCT